TTTTGTTATATCAAATTATGAATTTTTTTAGTGTAATAGGGGTATTCCTATTAAAATTTTAAAGAGTTATGAAAAGTAATACTATGACAAATTTATATATTTGTCAATGCATGAAATAGGTGATGAATTTTATACTTACGTTTTTGTTTGTAAAAATTTCATTTAATTTCAATAATTTAAAATAATTTTATTATAAAATATAATTTTATTTGGATTAAAATATTTATGAAATTATTATTTATATTAAATGATAGATAAAAATGAGATAAAAAATCAATATGGAAGGATAAACATTTTAGGAATGTTTAATGACAAATGGAACTTAATGACTTACTAGTGTTTGTTTTCTAGTTTCTTTCTTGCTTGCATAACACACTAGGATTTGGACTACCAGCGACCAAAAACCTATATATATATAGATAGTAAACATCATACTTTGTATTTCTGAAAACAAAGAAAGAAAAATATGAATATGAATATAAATACGAATACATTATGTTTGTTACCCAAGTCATTACTGACATGTTCGAATGAAGAATTGTTGTCGATCGTCCTCCGCTGCCTTGAACATACCCACCTTTCTGAATCTGTTTCGCAACCAATTCAACAATGCATATGGAAGAAACCAGAATGTGGTTGGATGAAACTGAATGCGAATGGATCTATTAGGGGTGGCAGAAATAATCTTAAGGCTAGTTTTGGTGGGATTTTTCATGACTGTAAGAGTGATCCAATATGTGCTTATGCGTCTAAAGTTTTTTATCCTCAAAATGTTCATAATATTTTTGTTGTTGAGTTATGGGCAACATGGGGAAGTCTTAGACTTGCCTTAGACCTTGACATCAAATCCATATGGATTGAATCTGACTCTCTTAGTGCAGTTAAAACAATCAATGGAGAAACAATCTCATAATCCAAGGGTGAAGTGTTGTTTGAATCGGATTTGGAAGCTCCTAAACAAATTCGACAACTGCATAGTTTCTCATACTTGGCGTGAAACTAATAGAACTGTAAATTGTCTAGCGAAAATTGATCTTGAAGTAATTGATATTATTTTGCATCCAGTTGATTTTCCCTTACCCTCATTGATATTATCAAGGGCGATGTTGAAGGAAGATGGTATTATAGAAGCTAGAGATATTGACTGAAATCTATGTAGCTGATTTGATAAAGCTTCAGTATTTGTAATACATTTGGTTATAATTTTACAATTATAATTCATTTTTTTATTAAATTATATAAAAAAAATAGGGAGCTTTTTTGATAAATCCTTTTTCTAATGTCTTTATTCCATCCAACCCATATTCTTTTTGGCTATTCCATTAGGTCCTATTTGAGGTAAGAAGACCAAAATACTCTTTTCATCTACTTATGTTTCATTTAGTCTACATTATTTTCTTATGTTTCAACAAATCCTATGGGTGACATAATTACCAAAATATCCCTAATGTGACTGTTCACATCATCAATGTGAATGTTCACACCGTCAATGTGAATGTTCCTATTTGAGGTAAGAAGACCAAAATACTCTTTTCATCTACTTATGTTCCATTTAGCCACATTATTTTCTTATGTTTCAATAAGTCCTATGGGTGACATAATTATCAAAATATCCCTAATGTGAATGTTCACATCCTATGGGTGACATAATTACCTAAATACCCCTTATGTGAATGTTCACATCGTCAATGTAAATGTTCACACTGTCAATGTAAATGTTCACACCGTCAATGTGAATGTTCACAACGTCAATGTGAATGTTCCTATTTGAGGTAAGAAGATCAAAATACTCTTTTCATCTACTTATGTTCCATTTAGTCCACATTATTTTCTTATGTTTCAATAAATCCTATGGATGACATAATTACCAAAATACTCCTAATGTGAATGTTCACATCCTATGGATGACATAATTACCAAAATACCCCTAATGTGAATGTTCACATCGTCAATGTGAATGTTCACACCATCAATGTGAATATTCCTATTTGAGGTAAGAAGACCAAAATACCCTTTTATCTACTTATGTTCCATTTAGTCCACATTATTTTCTTATGTTTCAATAAGTCCTATGGGTGATATAATTACCAAAATATCCCTAATGTGAATGTTCACATCCTATGGGTGACATAATTACCAAAATACCCCTAATGTGGATGTTCACATCGTCAATGTGAATGTTCACACTGTCAATGTAAATGTTCACACCATCAATGTGAATATTCCTATTTGAGGTAAAAGACCAAAATACCCTTCTCATCTACTTATATTCCATTTAGTCCACATTATTTTCTTATGTTTCAATAAGTCCTATGAGTGACATAATTACCAAAATACCCCTAATGTGAATGTTCACACCGTCAATGTGAATGTTCATATCATCAATGTGTAAGGGCTCGGCCCAGCCCGGACCGGGGCCAAACCATGTAAAGCCTCGTGGGTGCTTGCCAAAATTTGGGCTGGGCCGGACCGACCCACGGTCCAAAAAATTAGGCCTAGGTCCTAATCCTAGCACAAAGGTATTCAGGCTTTGGATGCCCCGGTGGGTCGAGCCAAGGGGTTTGGGCCTAGACTTGGGCTTAAGTCGGGCTTGGGTGAGCCTCGCCATTTTTTTTAATTCTTTTTAATTTTTTCTCCCAAAATTTTATTATTTTCCACAAAAAAGACACCGGGCCTCGGGCCGAGCCTTAAATGGGCCTTATACGGGCCAAGCTTCAAAGTGATGGCCCAGGTCCTAGCCCAAGTTCTTGGGCTGGGCTCGATCCCGGGCCCAAACGAGCTTGCCCCGGGCCACGGGAGGGCTTCGGGTTGCCCACGGGCCGTGAGCTAATTTTACACTCCTATCAATGTGAATATTAACATGTCAATGTGAATATTCACATTGTCAACAGGTCGAACCCGCTCAAGGTCGCGGACCAATTTTACACTCCTATCAATGTTAATATTAACATGTCAATGTGAATATTCACATTGTAAACGGGTCGAGCCAGACCGGGCCCGCGAACGGGTTTCGGCCCGCCTACGGGCCGCAGGTCAATTTTACACTCCTATCAACGTTAATGTTAATATGTTAATGTGAATATTCACATTGTCAACGGGCCGGGCCGGGCCGGGCCCATCCCTGGCAACCCACCGGCCGCGGGCTGGTTTCGCGCCGCGTACGGGCCGCGGACCAATTTTTCACTTCTATCAATGTAAATGTTAACATGTCAATGTGAATATTCACATTGTCAACAGACCGAGCTCGCCCCGGCCCAGGGGGGAGCTTCGGACCGCCCACGGGCCACGGGCCAATTTTACATTCTTACCAATGTGACTGTTAAAATATGAATATTTACAGCACAGCCCGCCCCGCCCCGGGCAACGGGCAGGCTTTGGGCCGCGGGCCAATTTTACACTCCTATCAATGTGAATATTAACATGTCAATATGAATATTCACATTGTAAGCGGGCCGGACCGGGCCCGCGGGTGGGTTTCGGGCCGCCCACGGGCCGCGGGCCAATTTTACACTCCTATCAATGTGAATGTTAACATATCAATGTAAATATTCACATTGTAAACAGGTCGGGCCGGGCCCACTGGCAGGTTTCTGGCCGCCTACGGGCCGCGGGTCAATTTTACACTCCTATCAACATGAATATTAATATGTTAATGTGAATATTAACATTGTCAATGGGTCGGGCCGGGCCTGCCCCGGGCAACCCACGGGCCGCGAGGAGATTTCGGGCCACCTACGGGCCGCGGGCCAATTTTACACTTCTATCAATGTGAATGTTAACATGTCAATGTGAATATTCACATTGTCAACGGGGCAGGGGCAAGCTTCGGACCGCCCACGGGCCATGGGCCAATTTTACATTCTTACCAATGTGAATGTTAAAACATGAATATTTACAGCCCGTCCCGCCCCGGGCAACGGGCGGGCTTCGGGCCGCCCACGGGCCGCGGGCCAATTTTACATTTCTATCAATGTGAATGTTAACATGTCAATGTGAATATTCACATTGTAAATGGACCGGGCCCGCGGACGGGTGTCGGGCCGCCTACGGGCTGCGGGTCAATTTTGCACTCCTATCAACGTGAATGTTAATATGTTAATTTGAATATGCACATTGTCAACGGGCCGGGCCCGCCCCGGGCAGCCCATGGGCCACGGGCGGGTTTCGGACCGCCCACAGGCTGCAGGCCAATTTTACACTTCTATCAATGTAAATGTTAACATGTCAATGTAAATATTCACATTGTCAACGGACAGGGCCCGCCCCAACCCGGGGGCGATCTTCGGACCGCTCACGAGCCACGGGCCAATTTTACATTCTTACCAATGTGAATGTTAAAATATGAATATTTACATCATAAAATTGCTAACCGTTCAAAAAATATTTGTAATGGTATCAAAATTAAATATAAAGGCATAAGAGTCTAAAAAAAGAGTGTAAATCAAGAAAAAGAACTTTATGGAATAAAACTATATATACATGGGACTAAATGGGTTAATAAATTTTTTTCATGAACTTTTTGGATTAAAACACTTCTATAAATGAAATTTATCAATAAAAATCCCAAAAAAATATAAAATAAAAATTTTGAGATATAATTTAATAATTCTAAATATTTTAATATAAAAAATAAAAATAAAAGATCTCATTTACCGTGCAGTTTAATAGTGAGTAATTTCTGATGGTGAATTATAATTATTTAATTCTATTTCCATGATACATTCATAAAAATCAAATGCAACCAATGATACAAGTGACATACAAATCCGACAAGACAAACTTGACAAATTTGTTTTTGAATAATCACTTTTTTTAAACAGTATTTTTCTGGTTGATTTTTTTAATTCAAAAAACTTATTTAAAAGTTAGAAGATCCTTTAAAAAATAAAAATAAAATAAAATAAAAAAGGTTAAAAGGAAAATACTGATAACTTGAACACAAATTTCTTTTAATAAAAAATACTAAAATTAAAATATTACTAAAAGCATGCACACATTATCACTGTCACACTTAATGGCAAAAAACAAGAATTAGAAACATCTCTCCGTCATCCTCCTAATATTCAACTTCTTTCTAAATCATTTACAAAGCATTTTAGAGCCTCCAAAGCAGACCTATTCAGACCTATGCCGCCCCGAAACCCTAGCCCATCAATTCCTAATAAGATTTCTAAAAATCCAGCAACCAGCATTTGAAACCAATCTATTGAAGCCCCTTCAATTCAGATAACCATCTCCCTTCTACCTTAACCAACCACCACCCTTCTACCTTACTGAACCCCAAATTAAAAATTTGTCCTACACCCACAAAAAACTAATGCATTGACAAATATAAGATTCATATGGCTTGGCAAAGGACCCTTTTCTGGAATCATACATCAAATTATTGCTTAACACCAGAAAATGGAAAACATACTCGAGCACACAAAATAAAGCAGATATCAAGCGACTCACCATCATTCCCACCGATTGCCATCAGATATCTTTGCGCCACCAGAGCTATAACATGCCCATAACGTGGCCCTGGTCCAGGACCTTGGACCACAACCCTAAAGGGATATTGACGTTGCTTTAATAGATGTATGACAAAAATACATAATCATGTATGTGAAAGTGTTTTTATAAATAAATGGGCAAGGACAATTTTGGGAAATCTAACCTATGCCATCGTGGTCGTTGTTGTGTGAGATCAAGAACATGGAGGTCCTCAGCAGACAAACCAGCTAGACCAATTCCACCCTGTGTTGGATTGAAGGATAACAGGGAGCAGTTACTATTTACTAACTAACTGAAAGAAGAAAAAGTAGGATAAACTGTTGAATTATCAATATGTCCTCCAACCTGAATAACTACCATAGTACCCACAGCAGTTGCCACATGTGCTGCCCTTGGAGTGGGAGGTTCTCCAAAGGGTGTAATCCTGCAACAGAAAGCTCATTAAAGCATGATAGAACAACATAACAAGCAAATAAAAAAAGCATAACCTCGAAAAAGGTTTAAAGCATAAAACATTTCCGTTCTAAAAATGACATAAAATTAACAGTATCATTCTTCATTTTACAAAGATTCATCCATGTTGGGTAGCAAATATCAGACATAACCCCCTCCCCCCCCCCCCCCCAAAAAAAAAAAACACACACACACACACAAACGCACATCTATGTGTGCATCTCTTATTCGGTGGGCATACCTCTGCTGCATTCATACCAAATCAATTACATATCTAAGGTTGAGAATTGGATAGTTGAGCTTTTCAACAAAGTTAGGGTTGTATACATCACAAACAAAGCATAAAGAACAATGACATAAAATACTTGAACAAGGCAAAAACCAAAGTAACTTCACTTACTAGGGTTCAACTGGACCCACATTTAAATGCCATTTGGATAAGATGGACTTCAAAATACATAAAAGGGAAAAAACAAAACCAACACATGCAACAAGAATTCAGCATTATTACAGTTACTATGGCAGGCACCTCAACATCAAGGTTTACAAAGATTCCAGTTACATTCATTAAGAGCACACCCATGTTATAAAAATATAAAATTGCACTCAAATAACTTGATCCGAAACATATCTAGGGCTTCTACAGAGGCAAGAATGAACACCCAAAAAAACAGAAACACAAGACATCAACTTGAACTGAAACGTATCTAGGGTTGTACATAGGCAAAAATGAAAACCCAAAAATCATAAAATACAATAAATTGGAGAATTGGCAAAAAAGGGTTAAACCAATAACCAAACACATACTTATTCCAGCACTTCCAGCCGAAGATGGAGTCCCTGGAGCTGCAGAATTGCCCTCAAGAGCAGTGGCTCCTCCAAAAAGAATCAGCCTCCGTCCAATGTAACCCGTCGTCCCTTCCTCCCCAACTGCAGCCACAGCCGTTAAGGTGTGCCCGCATCTCGGCCCCGGCCCATCTTCCTTCTTCTCTAAGATTGCGTTCACCACAGAGTACGTCGGAGCAGTCCTCGGCCCGGCCACGGGGCTCTGATGCGCCTGAGCCGGCGGCGGAGGTGGCGGTGGCTCCGCCGGAGATCCAGAAGTCACGGCCGCCGGAGCCTGCTCGACCTGTTCGGACGTCGGGCCGTTGTTGTTGGGGCCTGTTGGATCGTGATCGGTCTCTGACGCCATTGACGAATCAACATCCATATCTCGAACCCTTGGTATTTTACCTTAGTGTCTAGATCGGAGCTCCAATTCTCACCGATTCGCATTTATGATCAACATATTGAAATCCAATCATTGCCGGGAACGCAATACCTAGAGTTGGAATCTCTAGCTTGGATCGTTCGATTGAATTCAAATTTTGAAAAAATACGGGAAAATTTTTTCATATTTGCCAATGCATGTTTATAAAAATTTCATTTAATTTAATAACTAAAAATAATTTTATTATAAAATATAATTTTACTTCAATTAAAATATTTATAAAATTATTATTTATATTAAATGAGAGATAAAAATGAGACAAATGAACATTTTAGAAATGTTTAATGACAAGTAGAATTTAATCACTTACTAGTATTTGTTTCTTTGTTTCTTTCTTACTTGCATTACATACTAGGATTTGGACTACTACCAACCAAAAACCTATATATATAGATAGTAAACATCAAACTTTATATTTTTGAAAACAAAGAAAGAAAATATAAATATGAATATGAATCCTTTGTGTTTGTCACCCAAGTCATTACCAATATGTTCGAATGAAGAATTGTTATTGATCGTCCTCCAGTGTCTTGAAGATACTCACCTTTTTGAACCTGTTTCGCAACCGATTCAACGATGCATATGGAAGAAACCAAAATATGGTTGGACGAAACTAAATGCGGATGGATCTATTAGGGGTGATAAAAATAATATTAGGGCTAGTTTTGGCGAGATTTTTCATGACTATAAAGGTGATTCGATATGTGCTTATGTGTCTTAAGTTTTTTATCCTCAAGATGTTCATAATATTTTTGTTGTCGAGTTATGAACAATATGGAGAGGTCTTAGACTTGCCTTAAAACTTTTTTTTTTTTGATCGGCAAAGAAAAATTTCATTAATCAACATGAAATTAAAGGTACAGGAAGATGAAATGCACTGAGAGAGATTCAGACAGTACAAAGTACCCCTACTACTGCTACTCGCAACCATACAACCAACCCCTTGGCCTCACGATTTTTTTTAAACAAAAAACGTTAAGAAGGACTTAACAAAAAAAAAATAATAATAAAAAATAAAAAAATAAATAAAAAAAAATACATAATTCCCCACAAAATTAACCCACCAAAACACCCAAACTGCTAAAAAAACATATTCTAACACCCAAGTTGGTAACCCAAAAATTTTAAACACTAACTGCACTCCCAATGCACCTGTACTCCCATGCCTATACTGCCCATGCTTGTGCCAAAACCAACGGCCCACGCCTATGCTGCACTCCCACGCCTACACTGCCAATGTTGATGCCTTCCCAAGGCCAACCACTCACCTGAACACCTAGTCTGCTGCACTCCCAAGGCTACACAACACCTATGCTGCTACACTCCCGAGGCCACATCACCGGAAAGCTCCATAGCCAACAGCTCCAAGGGCCGACACCGGTATGAAACATCGACCAACCACCCAAGAAAACTCCAGCGCCTATGCTGCTACATCTTCCTTGCTGAACTTGACATTTCAGCTCCAACAACCCTGCTACAACTTCCCTCCTGCAACTTCCCTGCAGCAACACCGGAATGCTTCTTCACAACCACGCCTATGCCGTAGACAAAACAAACACCCACTGCAACTCCAAAAGCCAACACTGCTAACGCACACCCACTGCAAATCCACACTCCGACCAACCGCTGGGACTCCTCCAAACATTTGGAATAAGATCACCCCTCAAACTCTCACACGAAGAGAAGCGCACGAACGAAAACCGGACAGATCTGGACCTACTACGACACCCTTGTTTCCGCCCAAACAAAGCATCAAAACTAGACCACCAATCTGAACCAGAGTTCACCCCTCAAGCTCCTACTTCACCAAAGAGCGCACGAATGAAGATCCTGAACGACCAGAAAAAAGAAAAAAAAAAAAATTTGGCATTAAATCCATATGGATTGAATCCGACTCTCTTAGTGCAGTTAAAACAATCAATGGAGAACAATAATCTGATAACCCAAGAATGAAGTGTGGTTTGAATCGGATTTGGGAGCTCCTAAACAAATTCGACAATTGCATAGTTTTTCAAACGTAACGTGAAACTAGTAAGGCTGCAGATTATCTTGCGAAGATTGATCTTGAAGTAATTGATATTATTTTGCAACCAATTGATTTTCTCATACCCTCATTGATATTATCAAGGACTATGCTAAGATATTGACTGCAGTCAATGTAGCTGATTTGATAAAGCTTAACTATTTATAATCCATTTGGTTATAATTTTACAATTATAACTCATTTTTTTATTAAATTATATCTTAAAATTTTAAATATTTTAAGAGAAAAAATAAAAATAAAAGATCTCTCTTTTTTTGCCTTCTAAACCATTTATATTATTTTTGCCTTCTAAACCAAACACTCCGACTAAATTAAACAAATAAAAACAATGAACCAACCCTATAAACTCCACTAATAAGACCTATGTAATCTCTTCTCGGAATTTTTAATGGTGATTTGTACTATCCACCAAATAACAGGAACTCTATGCTTACATGATTAAAAAATATAATTAATAGTAGACAAATCACAAAACACCATTGCTTTGAGATAAATTTTGGTCTGAACCACAAACAACAGTGGATAAATTATGCTCTCTCTGCTTTATATTTAGCCATTTTCTCACTTTAGCCCTTTAAATTCTTTTTGTACCTTTCTCTCCTTAATGCTTCTTTCCCTTCTGTCCTTGGTAAAAACAAGTCAAAAAAATTGAAGGAAAAAAAAAATCATGCAGAAGAACATACTGTATTGCAAACAAAACTATGATAACACTCTTCATTGCCTATATAAATATATAAGAAACAGAATCAGCGGCCCCTACTAACAACAGTTTAGAATGCAGTGTGACAAATTCAAACTTTTACAAAAATACCCAAAAGGATGCCCAGAAAGAGGGTAAAACAACATTAACAAACAAACAAACCCCATTTCCTGAACATATGGAGGAGGAAAATGACAAAACGCCCAACTATACCCTGTATACATACAAACACTAGTCCAAAATCTCGTTTATGTACTGCCGGAATACAACTGAAGATGGAAAGGCCGCTGACCAATAATAATTACCCACATAGGGAACTTTGTTGAAGGGGGTTGTTCGATACAAGATACACGGTGCATTTGCAAAAACTCATCCCCACCCACTCAGAAGAATTACATTCCTATAAACTTGATTTTGGCACATTTCCAAAATGTGTTTTCTTCTCCACACTACTCTCTCTTCATTTGTACAGCAACAAATGGCTTCGGTGATAACAAGATCAGCAAATGCAATGCCAATACCTTCACCCTAGTTGTAGATTTTCACTGGCTTCTCAAATGTGTGACGATTCTGCAAAAATTGGATCACAATGTCAAAATCAAGTAAAATGGATAAGTAACAGTATCTCATCTATGAAATGTTAGATCGCCACTTGTCTCAAAAGCTTAAGTTGTGCAAACATCCATACAATGAGAGAAGAAAGGATGCAAATGGAGAGACTTGAACCCAAACCTCCCCCAAAACCTGAGTTTTGATACCATGTTAAATCACTCTCAAAAACTAATCGGTTAGGAAATAGGACCAACAATGTATATCAAGCTATTCAACATGTACATCACTCAAGTGACTGAACAAGTTGAAGTAGCTTCCTCCTGATCTGACCTAAGATACACCAAAAGCAACAAAGCAAAAAAGTCTTGCAGAATATATAAGCAGAAGTTGATCGCATGATGTCTCCACTCAGATAATGGTATGAAGAAGCTTCCTACTGATCTAACCTACGATACACCAAAAGCAACAAAGCAAAAAAGTCTTGCAGAATATATAAGCAGAAGTTGATCGCATGATGTCTCCACTCAGATAATGGTATTTATCAGATGAGGTTGCCATTCGGATTCTTATAACTTGGCAACAACATTAAAATATACTCAAAACACATAGCAGAAATTTACCTGACTAGCTGCATAAGCCCTTTTAGGAGCATTGTCAGAGTGCTCCAATCCCAGATACTGCTCCCAAGCACCATAACATCTCTTCTCTGCAGACAGATGGCTAGTATAACTATCCAATATAGCTTTAAAACAAGTGGACATCATAAAATGTAGGAGGGTAAATACGGAATATGCACCTGAAACCGACTAGAGACCATGTTAGTGTCGTGAAGATACTCTGGTCGACCCAATGAAAGAAATGCAATTTTCCACTGAAAGCAAGGTTCATCAAATGATAAATAATAGGGAACAGCTATTCAGTACAAAAAATGGATAATACTACTTAACATGTTAAGAATGTGATGTCACGTAGCGTTCACTTGGAGTAGAAGATAAAAAAATGCAAAGAAAGCATACCTTAGTGTACGAGCATAGAATAATCTTCTCGTATAATCATGTTGATTAAGTTTGCACTCCTCCAAACGTTGTCGCTTTGCCACTTGAAAATACAAATGTGAGCTAGCTGGCGGGTGTGTGCCGGAAATCTCTCTGATGCCTAAGTCAGAGAATAGAGAATAGACACAAAAGCTCTATGTAATTGAGAGTCAGAATTTCAATACCGATGCATAGGTCCTGTCATGAGCTTTTATAGATTCCGCCTGCCACAATCCTAATAGGACTTCAACTCTCCTTAGAGTCCTTCTAGAAATCATACTCCCAAGGATAATGCCTATCCTGATAACATTCTACTCACTACCATCCAAGTGAGACGGTTGAATCCCTTTATCTCGGCTGACTCTCTAGTCACTGAGCTACTTCTGCTCCATGCTCAACATAGCCGAACTGCGATGTTCCTGCTACCAGTTGTCTTCTTGCCGAGCTATACCTAGCTCAACTCTCTTCACAGGCAACCCCTCGGTCTATTGCAAGACTTTCTTTAGACAGCTAGGTCTAAACCCCAGTGACACCTCACCTAGCCTAGGACCGAGCTACCCAATCTCCTGCTCGTGATATCTGACATGGAGTGATTGGATTGTCTTTCTTGGCCTAATAACTAGTAAACTATAAATATAAGAAGGCAAGCTCAACATATATGTTTTACTAAATAAACTCTTTCCTTCAAAATTTTATTTTGGGGGACGGGGTTTGGGATTTTGCAGCTATTAATAAATAAATTCCAAGAAATTTCTCAGTGATCATATGGGTAAAACACAAGCTTCAACTGAATCTTTCAAGGTTCAGTGTCCATCACAACAGCAAAAGACCAGGGGCAGTCAGGTCTACCCTATACAATGCTACACATTTTACTACCTGTTAAAACGGTTTTGATGACACTGAAGCATAAAGGTAACATATGTATGCCAAGACAGGAGAGAGAGAGAGAGAGAGAGAACCTCTTCTGCTCGTAATGTCCAATACTGATCATTTATGTTCTCTATCTTTTCATTGGCAGGAAAAAACTGCATGTATACGATGGCCAAATTAGTTGCTCGAAAGCTAAAAAAACATTTAACAAAATAAACAGTCTGGCATCAAAGATATATCTGAAAGCCTTTGAAGACTTAGAGCCGTCCAATAAAGCAAAAGTTCATTTTTTTTTTTAAGTTGATATAAAAGCACATGAATTATCCAGGGCACAATCAGGCCATGAAGGGATCAGCAAAGATGTAGTTGCTTCAATTAACAACTTATGTTCGATATAATAAAGAAGTCAAAAGTTCTACTTTCATTGTCATGGGATTCTTCTCAGCACATAAAGAATAGGAAAAGAAAAACAAAAAGCAATTGTAGCCATGCAAAGCTGAAGCTAAACACCTTATAAATCTTGTGGTAGAAAACTTCGAGCAATCTGAGTTCTGCATTTGGATTAGATAACTCAACCTGTTCAAATATGGAAGATGGAATAAATACAAGTAAACAGATTTATAGTAACATCAACTGTGTTGGAATATCATATCATGACCTACTTCCTCAACGGAGGGAGGGAATTACCTTTGTCTTAAGTTCATCAATAACATCACCCACAGTGCTTTGTTTTGGCAGTCTAATAGTGTGAATGGACACCTAAAAAAAATGACACATAAATTTTGAGTAAAGAAAAAAAATCTAAAGATCATGAAAATGAAGTTGTAATGCACACTCACTTCATCTTTTGTAGCATGGTGAAACGCTACTTTAAGCGTTTTCAAACCTTGCAATTCTGGCAGAGGTATGTCCAATACTTCATAGTACAATATATCAGAAGTCTGACCAAATTCAAACAAAAAACCAATAAAATTTTGAGGTTCTCTCACACTGCATAATACCCAGGACCATGTTATGAATCACCTGATTGTAGTGGACCGGCATATCTGACAAATGATCCACCCCCCGGTACTTAATAGGCTGTGGTTTGGGTTGCTGAGAGTAACAATTATGAGATGTAAGCCTAATTTTAGATGGATCATCCACATTAAGCTGGTGAGCTACTTGTTCCACAACATCATCATATGTATGAAGCTTTGACCTTGACATTCATGTAAAACGGTTATGAATAAGAATGCAGCCAATAATTTTTTATTGGCAGTACAAACTGATATTCTTAAAAAAATAAAAAAAAAAAGGGAAAAGAAAATATTGCAGTTGTATACTACTGATACTATGCACTTACAACTCTAGACAGAAATCATCCTCCTTAGGCTTTTCCAGGGCTCGAAAGTGAACAACCTGCAAAACATCATACATGTGAACACCAGAAACAAGAAGAAACAGTCATCAAAGATTGACGCACTATAGGTGCTAATTTTAGCACTTGTCTTCCCCCAAAAAAACCTTTTCATTACCAATAATATTTGGAGACATAATATCAAGCCAAAAATTGTATTATTTGTCTTCAAGCGTTACAATGCAGTGAAAGTTCTAGAAATTTTATTTAGTTTAACCATAAAGTCTGAAGTCAAAACACAATGCTACAGCTTTCAAATTTATGTCCGAGGCATGCCTCAACATCAGTACACAAATTAAGTTCCACCAACGTATTATTACCTACGTATTTATTAAAGAAAGAATGTAAAGTTCTTATATCGGGTTCGTTTGGAAAGTGGGTTGGCTTTTTAGCTATTTTAGCCTGGGGCTAAAAAGCCTCGTTTGGGAAGAGCTTTTTGGCTTTTTTGACTTTTTGTGAGAGAAAGAATGTAATGATTATGGGTTGAATGTGATCTATGAAGCACGGATACTTCTGTGGGTACTTGTATCAAGTTCAATACGTGGTAAGCCCTACAAGTGCCACATCACCAAAACCCCACCCATGTGGCAGACCAATAAGGCACCACGTCGGGCATGTCGTATGTTTGATACATGGCGAGCCCTACAGGCGCCATGTGCCAAGGCAACCAAGACTATATGCTTAGCCTAAGTGGGAGCATACATAGAAGCCCAAATATATCTAGATATGAAGAGCCCTGCAACAGGCAGCACCATGGCCCCGCAGGGCCCATGGTCCTTCATACCTCGCTCCAAGACCAAACAACAATACAATCAGCTCCCGGTTCACTTGAACTTGGATTGATAAACACTGGCTCTCCTAAACATTGAGATAAACCCGCGGCCCATTCTCCTACTTGGTCGCCTGGAAGCTAGCCCTTGGCTCTCCTAAACACTAAGGTGGGCCCTAGCCCATTCACCTACTTGGGTGCCTGGGTTGGGAGCAGGACTCAGACACTACTGCTCGGGATCATCAGAGGATACTGGACTGGGGGCTAAGGTCATGGGATCGTCGAGATGGTTGTCTTCTTGGTAAGACAACTCCATCTCGACCAGGCTTGGAGAAGAGGCAACAATGACCTTACGTTCATGTCATCCGATGCATATACAAAACGTTACTTTCCATCTGCCATGAAACGTTGCTCTCCGCCTACCGTCAAGCCACAAATGGCAGAAGGGCTTATATTCTTTCTGGCAGAGTTGAGGAGAACGAGCCACCTGTCCAACAGTTTGCTTGGGCTCCAATACTCCTGTGGCCTATATAACGTATCGTATATGCAGCGAGACACAACAACAACAATACAGTCAAGTCTCATGCTAAAACACCCTCTCTTGTTTTACATTAGTATTCAAGGTCTATCACTGCCAACCTCTCCCTCTCGAAGCTTGCCTTGATCTCCTCCTCTCCACCTCCGGTGATCCCAAGCCATTGAAGTGCCCGCCATCTTCCCGGACTACCTCTAACCACACCTCTCACCCACAACA